TGAATCGCCGCCCGTCACGGGTCAGACGGGAGCTATCGCAGCTGGGTACCTCGGGGCAGGCCAGGGCTCGACCCCCGGCACTCGGTGGCGGGGTGATGGGACGTGGGTCTCTTCGCACAACAGGTTCCCGCAGGAGGGGGAGGCTGGGGCTGACAGTGAGGAAGGTCGGTCCAGCGTCTCAGGAGAGCCAGGGAGCAGGAAAAGAGGGGAGCACCTGGATCGGGGAGGGGAGAGACGGGGTGACAGCAGGAAGGGGAGATGCTGAGAGGCAGGCTGGGACCTTGCACACGCCAGCGACTGATGCAGAGGGGCTATGGAGGGAGGGCGACCGTGGAGATCTCCCTGCTCCTTGCAGGCATCTGGACTTTGCTTCTAGCTCTGCTGCAGACTCCCTCCGCTCCCCCAGCCCCACTCTGTGCCTCAGTTTCCCCATCTGCCAAAAGACTCACCTCTCTAAGGGGTGTTGTCTGGGAGGAAAACCTTGCACATGCAGCGCTTGGCATCAGTGTTAGTGTTACAACTGGTGACATAAGACTTTCAAGGGTCTGATGGAGCCAGCTGCAGTGGTTTTAGCACAAGTTTCTCCCATGGATCTTGAAGGACTTGAAAGGGACACGTTGTACTGAACCCCAGGAAAGCATGAAACAGCCGTGTCCTCAGGGACCATCTGTGTCCCCGCACTGCTGACACCCCCAGCCCTACAAAGGTGCCCCCTTTCACCGCTTCACGGGGCATGGTGGCCTTTTCTGTGCTGCCCTGTCAAGAGTTGCAGCCGTGGCTCTCCGAGTAAAGTGGAGACCAGAAGATGGAGCCAAAGACTCGGGCACCCCAGAGACACTGGGACACCCCGGGAACAGCCAGCTCCCCAGTGCCCAGCTCCCCCTCCGAGCACCCCAGCCCCAGCAGCTGCACTCCAGGCCGGGGGCCCTGCTCTTACCCAGGACGTCACAGCAGGGGCGCTCATCGCTCCTCCAGGTCGTAGGCAGCCACCAGGTAGTCCTTTGGGACGATGCCCACCACGTTGTCGAGCTCTCCGACCCACCAGCCATACATGTTGTACTCCTGGGGAGACACACAGGAAGGATGGTGACAGGGACAGCCGGCAGCGCTGGGGGTTAGTGCCGGGTGGACACGGCTCGGTCCCCTCCCAGCGGCCTCAGGCAGCAGCCCCCAGACCCCCACCGGAAAATACCCCGATCCTGTTCTCTCCTGTGCAAATCCTGCAGGGGGGGGAACCTTTGCCTCCTTTCTAACCCAGCCCTTCCCTGCTCTCCCACCTTGCGTCTGCAGGACATGGGCTGGGGCTTGCTCTGCAACTCAGCATTTAACTGATGGGCCCTGATTTGGGCTATTTTGGGTTGGCCCTACAGTTATTGATGTCAACTTTCAGGATGTCCCAGGCCTGGAGCTCTGTGAAGCCCCTCCAGAAAGGATCTGGCCATGGGGTCAGTAAAAGTCCCCGGTGAGACGTCCCCTCCGCAGTGCCCTCTGCAGATGCATGGGTGATTATACACTTGGCAGCAGGTAGCAGAGACAAATAGTAACAGAAAACCTCCATCCCCTGGTGCAAAAGGAGGAGTTAGCACACCCGCTAAAGAAGTTTGCGATCAAAATAGGGTTTTTGTTGTTGTTGTTGTTGTTTTTTTTAAGGAGATCTTAAATGTGATGCCTGCAAAGAAGCGGGCTCTGCCGCGCAGCTGCTGGGCCCGGCCCCTGTCCGCACCAGCTCTGACACCCTGGGACCCACCGGGGCGTTTGACCCATCAAACCCAGCGGGAAAGGGCGTTTGGTCAGGAGAGGAGCTCTGTGGGATAGCAGAGGTTTGAGAGAGAAACGGCTCTTGCCGTTCCCAGCTCCGCAGAGGGCACTTCCCTCACCGGAGCCCGGGAAGGGACCCAGGAGTCCGGACTCCCTAGGGCACGCGGCTCTGCCGGTTGGAGAGGCGCCTGTCCGGGATGGACGCTGCTCCCA